AATCGTTGTTTTTTCAGAAATATCATCTTTAAATTTGATCAATTTATCATTATTTCTTTTTGATAAATATTTTCGTTCACGATCCACCAATTCTTTAAGTTGTTGTTCCATTTGTTCAAATGATAATTCTATCATTGGACATGTTTGAAATTGTTCTTCTTGTTTTGTTAATTCAAATTGACAATGATTCAATTGCTTTTTATTATTTTGTATATAATTCGTTACATATTGTTTACATAAATCGAAGTCATTTGTCTTTGTCATAGTATATAATTGATCCTTAATATAAATTCAAAATAGAACGTACAGAACGATTTAGAATTAAAATAAAATAAAATAAATTTACGGGCCATAAATTTTGTTGTATACCAATATCTAAATAGGATTGCCATAGTTGTCGATCCATTTCTAAACAATAGTGTTGATCTAATAGTTGAAGTCGTTGAAAAATAAATTCTTTTTCATCTTTTTTCTTCAATGAATAATTTAAAGTTTTATTTAATATTTGACAGAGTATAGATGATGATCGTGTTAAATACATTGGTTGTCTAAATATATATCGTAAACAAAATAAGATGGATAATTATTTTTACCAAGAAATTATTCTCACCGATAATTTATATGTCTATTCAGATCATTATTATCTCCATGAATCATTGTATTTTTAATCGTTGTTTCTGATGTATTCTTCATTTTTTTTGATGATGATTCTACAATAGATATTGAACTCGTTGTTTTTGATATTGTTTGATTTATAATTGTTGATGATAGTTGTTGTGAGGAAATATCTCGTTTACGTTTATGAAAGCATGTTGCCGTTTTAACTATTGGTTGTGATTGATAATTTTTTCCTGTTGGTGCTAAATCACTTTTTAATTTTGTTGATTCTATATTTGTCTTGGGTATTTTATTTTTCTCATAAGAACAATTTCTTTTCTTGATTAATTTTTCTATTTTCGCTGATTTCATTTTTTCAGCACGGCATTTTCTTCGAAAACGTTGATTTCTTCGATTGCCATGACATTTTTTCCGTTTTGGTGGTTCTTGATTTGAAATTACAATGTTATCCTGTCTATCCATATGATATTAAGATTGACTTTAAACCGATTAATCTGTACGTTGAATGAAAATGAGTTAAACTATCTGAAAAGGAAAAACAAGCAAAGGAAAAAAAATGGTATATTGAATTGGAAATTCTAAATATGAGAGCACAACTACTATAAGATGAATATTATTTTTGAATGAAACACACGAAAAAAAAACAATTACGACTTCGAAGGAATTGATTCAGATTTAAATTTATAGATGCATTTAATACGTTCACTAATTTTATTACAACGTTGATTAATAAGTTGTAAGAATGTTGAAGATAACTTTTCATTATTATTCAATGTATGTTGAGACGCATCCATTTTCTTTATATTAGCTTCATGTTTCTTTTTATATTCTTCTCGTTGATCTTTAGCTGATTCTAGATACAAATTAAATAATTTATTTCTCGATTGTATAGCAACTTCTTTAAATTGTTTCATTAATGCTTCTCGAATGGTTACATTTTGAATAGAATCAATTGACGGATGATGAGATATTGTTGAGCATTCAAATGATTGACTTGGTAAATTGTAATATGCAATTTGTTGTTTCAAAAATTCATATTCTTGTTCTGACGTTTCTTGTTCATATTGACTTTGACAAATTTGTATCATTAATTGTTTCTAAAATATTATAGATTAAATTCAAAGAAGATTTATTTGTTTATTTTTTAGAAGAAAGAAAAACATACTTGATATTCATTTGGTTTATGTCGAAGATATTCTAACTTTAATGCTCGAATATGATAATCATAATGAATCAGTTCTACTTGATGTTGAATTCTTTTACATAAAGTAACATTAAGATTTTCTTCAATATATGTTTTAATTATTTCTTGAATTGACAATGTATAACCTGGATAATTATTTGCTTTAATATTCAATTCTTGTTGATATTCTTTTAATTGATTTTGCAATGCATATAAATGACCACTGGCAAATTTTAAACAAATTTCATTTTCATTTGTTTTATCTTTCTTGTTTGATAATGCAATAGTTTTTATTTCTTTCGGCCATATTGATAAAGTTGTCGGATAGCATAGCTTTTGTTTTGTTTCAAATGGAACCATCAATTGTCCAGTACCTGATTTGAAATAAGTTTCCCATAAATATTGATAAGTTTGAATAACCATAATTTTATAAAGTAAAATAGCTATTTTTCTTAATTCATCGATATTATTAACATTCTTGTTTGAATTTTCTGTTGTTGCTGCTGCTGTTATCATCGACGATAAGACTTGATGCATCGATTTTTTGAAAGATATATTTTGTTTTGTTAAATAATTTGGAATTATTTCAAGCTGATCTCTGATCTCTTTCAGTATCTTGATAGAATGTTTTTCATGTGTTGTAGTTGTTGATAATTGTCTCATTTTTGCTGATAGATTTTGTTCTTCCATTTCCTAGAAATAATATATATATACATATATTATAAATACAATCGGTTAAAATTTATTGAAGACTCACATCGAATTTTTTTTTGGTTTTATTTTTCTCTTTCATGTTCCACGGAAGATCACTTGACATTTTATCGAAATTTTCCAAAGTTTCACGCTATAAATAATAAGAAAGAAAATGATAGTTTAAGAAAAAAGACCATAAGACAAGAAGATTTCAAAATTACCTGTTGTTGTTGTTGTTGTTTTTCTTCTTTTTGATCGTAAGAATTTGTATTGTTTGTTGTCATCGTTAATAGAAAGACAATGATTTATATCTGAAATAAAAAGAAATGAATTCAACAAGCAAATGAACATATGAACTATTTCAAGGATTTTGGGTGATAAGATGCATTCGTTTAATATCTTAAATTCAACAAGAATTCTTTTCTTAACTATCATCTAGAACTATGACAATCTAATTATAGCTATGAATTTCGAGCTACATGAAAGAAAAAGAGAAAACAAACATTTCTATGAGGTATTTATATAATTACATAATAAAAAGTATTCTTTTATTATTGAGAAGAAGTGTTGATAAATTCCATAATGACTTGTGTACGTTGTTCGATAGTGACGAGACGTGCTTCAATAATGGCAAACATGACAGGAACAAAATCATCGATGGACAATAGATTCATGTTGACTATTGGATTGTTATCAGGAAAAATTGTTTTCGTTTTTTCACGGAGAAGTCGTTCACATGAATTTAATTTTGTTTGCCAAATTTGTTGAACAAGATGAATCTTGAATAGAAGAAAAAGAAATATTTTACATAGAACAAATGATCGGAGTAAATGAAATACGAACTTGTTTTTCAGTTGGATTTAAATCATAGAATGATTTGACTAGATATGCATCATGAAAATTAAAGTGTAACAAGAGCTTCTTCTGTTCAAAATGTACATGGAAAGGAT